CCCTTGGCGCGGGCTGCTGCTGCCAGCAACAGCAGCAGCAGCAGCAGCAGCAGCACATACAGCACCAGCACCCGCAGCACCAGCACCCGCAGTACCAGCAGCAGCAACATGAACACCTAGGTGCAGCTGCTGCTACCAGCCGAGCAGCAGCTGCAGCAGCTGCTGCAGCAGCAGCCCCTCCAGCAGCAGCAGCAGCAGCGCCTCCAGCAGCAGCAGCAGCAGCGACACCGACACCTAGGCGAGACTTTCACGCACGCATGCGCGCAACCCCAAATCTACTTCAAGCCAAACCCTAAACCCTAAACCCTAACTGCAACCTGTGACCCAAAAGGGCCCCAAAACAAAAGACAAAAACCCTAAACACTCCTTCAGCCCAAACCCAAAACCAAAAACAAGAACTGCAAACCCCCGGGGGGCCCCCGGGGGCCCCTCTTAGCAGCCCCCCGGGGGCCCCTAAGAGGGGGCCCCCGGGAGGAGGCCCTCATGGGGGCCCCCAATAGGGGGCCCCCTTTTTAAGGGGCCCCGCAGAGGGGGCCCCTCTTGAAGAGGCCCCTGGAAGGTGGCCCTAAGGGGGCCCCCCAGGGGGCCCCCAATAAGGGGTCCCCTCGGGGGGCCCCCCAATAAGAGGGCCCCCAATGGGGGCCCCCTGGGGGGCCCCCCAGGAGGGTACTGTGGGGTTTGTGAGATGGCGTGGGGGGAGAAAGAGGGGCCCCTGAGGACTTGAATTTTTGTGTCTGTTTAGTGTCCGTTTGGAGCTGCTTTTTGTGTCTTTTGGGCGTTTCGTTTTATTTGTTTTCTTCTTTTGTTTGTTCGCGCGGCTGGAGAAAAGTTTAATTATAATTTTGGAAATTAAACGGAGCTCGAGGGGGGCTGAGCGCCGCTCTCGGGGTGTCTGTACACCTCAGGCGCCGGCTTGGGGTGTATAGACAGCTGGTTGCTTGTTCGCCTTTTCGAGTTTTCTTGCTTTTTCAAACGGCTCTGCATGCATGTATGCATGCATCTATGCATGCATGCAGGCAGGCACCAATGCATTCATGCATGCATGAGCCTCTTTTCT